TATCACAAGGGTCTCCAAACTTGGCAGCTTTAAGCCTTGTGGACTTCCTGGAGCTAACATGACTGGAGGAGGAATTCTGGGAGTTGAAGTCCACAGGTCTCAAACTTGCCATGTTTGAAGACCCCTGGTGTAGGGTTTCCTTCCTGAGCAGGGGGTTGGACTAGATGACCACCCAGGTCCCTTCCAACTCTGTCCTTCTGTTATACCTCTCTGTCTCCAATCCCTTTCCTGGATGGAGAAAGTGCCTTTGGTGAGGGATCCAATGGAAGAATCCATCAATTAATCAGAATAGAGTTGGAAGGGATCTTTGAGGTCATCTAGTCCAACCCCCTGCTCAGGCTGAAGACCCTACAGTGGCTGTCCAGTCTCTTTTTAAACACCTCCAGTGATGAAGCACCCACAACCCCTGGTAGCAGGCTGTTCCACTGGTTAATTGTCCTCACTGTGAGGAAGTTTCTCCTTAATTCCAGGTTGCTCCTCTCCTGGATTTGTTTCCATCCGTTGCTTCTTGGCTTGTCTTGGAGACTAACTTGACCCCCTATTCTGTTATATCTTTTTTGTGGCAGCCCCTCAGATACTGGTATACTAGCATCAGGTCCCCCCTAAAAGTCCTTCTTTTCTCTAGACTAGCCAAGCCCAAATCTTGCAACTGTTCTTCATCTGGTTTAGTTTCCTGGTTTTTAATCATCTTCGTTGCTCTTCTCTGCACTTTTTTTTTTTTGGGGGGGGGGGGCTATTTTTTCAACAAAAAGAACAAATAAAACCATCTTTCAATTTTACAGTGTGTCGGTTGGGTACATATATCTTGTGCGCATAAATAATATTAGTATACATTTCTTATTTGATTATATTCATAGACCATTCTAATCAACCTTCTCTATTATATTCTTCCATTATGATATGATCGTTAACATTATAATCTCAGTTCTATACCCCCTTTCAAAAACAAACCTCATCCTTTGCAAAGTTATGCTCACATCCTTACTCATTCAGAAATAATCAATTGCAGTGTATTATTACTCTTACCACATATTCAAGTTTCTTAGTCTTCTATCTAACCATTCATAAAATAAATCCCAACTCTTAAAATACTCTTTTTCTTCCTGTTCTCTAATTGCCCTTGTTATTCTATTCCTCTCCGCACATGCCATTCTTTTCTTCATCTTTTCCACCTCTGTTGGGACTGTCTCACTTTCCTCTGCCCTTTTTCCAGAGCCTCAGCATCTTTTCGGTGACACGCCCCTTGTTCTGAAACAGTGACAGGGCCTCCGGCTTGAGGGAGGGGGCTGGACTAGAAGACCTCCAAGGTCCCTTCCAGCTCTATTCTGATTCTAAATTCTGGGTCCAGTGAGGCAGGATTCCAGGTGTGGCCTTTGTTCTAAGGCTTTATGAAGCGGTATTATTTATTCTTCACGTGGTTTTGGTTCCGTGCCTCTGTTTATACCACCGAGGATCGCCTTGGCTGTTTGGGCTGCTGCTGCTGCACCCGGCCGGCTCCCGTCTAAGGGATCACGTCCACTCGGACTCCAGGGTCCCTCTCACACGGGGGTGGGGGTGGGGCTGTTTTTGAGCCAGGTTTCGCCTAATCCGTCCTCGGGCCTTTGGTTTTGCTTTTGTTTTTACCTGCCCAGATGTAAAATCTTGCTTTCCCCCCCCCACGTTCCGTTTCATTTTGTGGTTCACGTCGGTCAAAATCCTTTGGGATCCTGAGCTTGCCTTCTGGCGGGGGTTGGCTGTTCCTGACGGAGTTTTGCTCCGTATACATCAAGTCCCGGGATCCGAGGGATGGAAGGAACCGCGGAGATCTCGTCGGATCCTCTGCCCAGGAGAGGGGCCTACGGACCCCCCCGAAACCTCTCAGGTGTTGATTTGGAAATCAGACGGCCTACGAATGGATCCCCCACAATTCCCGTTGCCATTTTGAGAACTCCTTCCTTCCTTCTTTCCCTCTCCCCTCCCCCTCCCTCCCTTCTCCTTCCTTCTTTCTTTCCCTCCTTCCTTCTTTCCCTCCTTCCCTCCCTCCCTTCCCTCCCTCCCTCCCTCCTTCCTTTCTTCCTTTTTTGAAAAATAAAATTAAACTTCAACTTTGAGCTCAAGAGAGATGTTCCCTCCTCCTCCTCTCTCTCCCCCCTTTTCCTCCTCCTCCCCCTCTTCCTCCTCTTCTCCCTCTCCTCCTTTTTCCTCCTCCTCCTCTCCTACCTCTTGCTCCTTCCCCCCTTTTCCACCTCCCTGTCCGTCCTCCTCCTGCTCCTCCTTTCTCCTCCCCCTCTCCCTCTCCTCCTCCTTCTCTCCCTCTTCCCCCTCCTCCCTTTTCCTCCTCCTCTTCCTCCTCCCCCTGTCCTCCCTCCTCCTCCTCCTCCTCTCTCTCCCCCTTCCGCCTCCTCTCCTCCCTCTCCTTTTTCCTCCTCCTCCTCTCCTACTTCTTCCTCCTTCCCCCCCTTTTCCTCTTCCCCTTCTCTTCCTCTTTCTCCCCCCTTTTCCACCTCCCTCTCCCACCTCCTACTGCTCCTCCCTTCTGCGTTTCCCACCTTGTCAGTTTCTATGCACTTTTGCCGGTTACGTTAATTTGTTTGCACACCTTCCAATTTTCCAAAAGAGGAACCAGAAAATCCTGGAAGCCTTTTCTGTATTGCCAGCGACAAAAACGTCGGCTTTGCTCTCTTAATTTGATGAAATGGGATACACGACGTGTGCCAGGCTAATAACTCGCACAGCCAGCAGGCTCTCCCGCTCTGTGGTTGGTGGGGCAGGTTATTGCTTCTCTTCCTGTAAATTGACATCAAAATCTATTTACACAAGTCGGTTGCAGGAGGGGCCAGCCCGGAGTTCCTCTTGGGGGGCCTTTGTGTCCGCTTCTGCTAGCAGAAGTTTTACCCTGTGCCTAATCCCTTCCACTCTGCTTCTGCCCAGGGAGCTCAGGCAAGTGGCACTTCTGGCAAAGTTGAGAGGGAGAGAGAGGGAGGGAGAGAGATTTAAAGAATGAGCTCTTGGGATGGAAGAATGGATGAAGAGATGGATGGTTGGATGGATAAATGGACGGAAGGAGAGATGGAGAGATAGATGATAGATAGATAGATAGATAGATAGATAGATAGATAGATAGA